CTTTCTTATACTCTTTTATACACAATTTCTTTTACATTTTCTTATACACTTTCTTATACTCTTTTATACACAATTTTTTTTACATTTTCTTATACACTTTCTTCACAATTTCTTTAACATTTTCTAATACAATTTCTTTTACAATATATTTAACACTTTCTTATACTCTTTTATACACAATTTCTTTTACACTTTCTGAAACAATTTGTTATACAATTTCTTTTACAACTTCTTTTACAACTTATTTTACACTTTCTTCTACATTTTCTTTTACAATTTTTTATAAACAATTTCATTAACAATTTCTTCTGCACTTTTTTCTACCCCTTTTACACTTTCTTGAACAGTTTCTTACACAATTTCTAACACACGTTCTTATATACTTTCTTATACACTTTCTTATACACGTTCTTATACACGTTCTTATACACTATCTTACACACGTTCTTATACACGTTCTTATACACGTTCTTATACACATTCTTACACACGTTCTTATACACTTTCTTATACACGTTCTTATACACGTTAAAAAAATTTTCTTGACAATTTAAGTAAAAATAAAACAGGACAGAAAAATCTTTATAACTTAGCAAAATATAAAAACCTGGTTTGTAATTTAAGAAACCAAAAGCTTCATGAATTTAAAAAGGCCAAGTTTGGTGGAAATTCTTTTCCAATAAACAATTCTTGTTAAGAATGGGTTTAGAACTTATGAAAATGAAATTTTTATTGAATATTATTTAAATTTGTAATATCTAATGAAATAATGTTTTTAAATGGATGTTTCAAGAAAATGCTTAAAAATGCATTCTAAAGGAACTGAGTCTTTCTCATAAAATCAAATATTCTAATGCCTAAATATTTCAACCTGATGGTGTAAACCTATACTATTTTAAACTTAGATTAATTTATCAAAAGCATTGGGTTGCTCAGATATAGGGATTAGGAAATCAGAGTTTGTGGCAAAGACTCAAATCCTTTTACTATTTTACATCGCAAAATATTCTCAGTAAATGTTTTCATTATCTGTATAAACAGGAATGTTTTCATATTATCTGTATAAACAGGAATGTTTTCATATTATCTGTATAAACAGGAATATTTTCATATTATCTGTATAAACAGGAATGATACGTGCATAGATGATCTTACGTTGAAAATCCTTCAGAAGGAAACTAAACTTAGGATTGAAGGAGGAGAAGGAGAAGGACGGATACTGGGAGAAGAAGGAGAAGGACGTATACTAGGAGAAGGACGGATTCTAGGGGAAGGAGTGATTAAAGTAGGAAAGGAAGATGGTGGAGGGAAGGAGAGTATTCTGGTGAAACTGAATTCTCGGTTAAAAAGTTTAGGTAAAAAATCCACGACTTTTAAAGTTTTATTTCTTCTTCAAAACGCTTGCTGTAAAGTATTACATAACACATGTTGTTTAAAAAGTTAAATCATGTGCAGTTTGGATCATGTCATAAGTAATAATTATTGATTTATTTTCAGCTTTTCTCTTTATAGGAAAAATAACATAATATCATGTTTGTTTCCATCAAATAGATTATCAAGTACAATAGGTGGCAACATAGAAATGGACCAATTATACACGACGTCACAAGTGTCAAATATAACAAGGAAAACGAAATTGTCTCACATTAGTTGACATGTATTTCAAGATTAAATAAAAAGTGTAAAGACAGAAAATAAAGAAGCATAAAATTGCACTTTTTTAGATAAGCACTTTATCATCACTATTAATAATAATTTTGTCGGACACAAAAACTGAGTTGACACGTGTGACGTAAGAATGCAGCTGTACTGAGAGTGTACAAATTTTACGTTGCCATCTATTGTACTAGAATCTATTTGGTTTCCATTATATTTCATTGTCTTTTTCAAAATGTTGTACTTTTGAATAAAAAAGAGGTAGAGATACCTTCCCTTCCGATGAAACTTCGCAGCCTTCAATTAACTATTAATGGTATATAATTTAAAGAGTCAGAATGTCCAATACTCGCTGTTGTCTAGTTTTCACTCGGAAACTCAGTTTTGTAATTCATTTCGCAGATTTGTTGAATACTATCTCTTAAACTAACATTAATGTTTGTTTAAATTTTTCTAGAGAAGAATACGACCTCCTTATCTCTCCTGGTTAAGAAGCTAAACATGACGTCCTCTATACAGACCTCGGATATGGAAAGGATCCTTGAAGCTGTTATCCGAGCTAAGGAGTCCTTCCAGGAGTCCAGCAAGGAGCAGTCCTCGTCCAGATCTAGAATGAGAACTCTCACGGAGAAGGTTGTAAAGCTGGAGGAAAATATTCAGGATTCATCGAACACAATCAAGATTATTGTTTTCTCTCTGATCTTGTTGGCAGGACTGTTCCTGTATCTAGTCTGCTCTCTGGAGCCCAGGGGTAGGACGGAGAGGAGCAAGGAGACACGGGAGACAGGAACTATGACGGATATGGAGGAGAACATGAAAATTGTGTCCAGTAAGGTTGAGAGTCCCCTGAGAGCGGAGAGAAGATCAACCTGGTGTGGTCGCGGTAATAATGGAAATATTTCTCCGTTGAATCAACCAACCAGGAGAAATGAACCTGTCCCAGTTAACAAAAGAATCAGGTAAATACTCATTAAGTTTAAACCTATTCAACCCCCCCCCCCTTCCCAGATTAGGATTGATATTTTTCAAGTGAATCGTCAAAAAAATGCGAAATTTATATTCATCGTTTTTTTAATGTTTTCAGGGAGATACAAGGAGATGAATGTGGTTTGAGTATTCCCTACTCAACTCCTAGCCAGGTGTTGAACAATGATGATCAAACCATTGATGAAATCCTTGCCATCCTGAATCCACGGAGCCTTGAACCTATCCCTGGAGACGGATGGAGCCCATCCCCGAGTGTTACTTCTAAACCTCAAGCTGGGCGTCTCAATCCAATCCCGGAGTATCCAGAACTAGATTTAAGCCCCAGGGTTCAAGGTTCACAAGAGGATTCTCTCTCAGGTTCAACTCTTCTGGATTTACTCCAGGGTGGAGTAATATCTCCGAAACCTGGATTAACACCGAACCGAAGAGTTACATGGTGTGGTGGTGGTTCCATACCTTACTCTGGACAAACTCCACCAAGTTTTAAACCTCGCTCCTATTCTAAAGATACCTGAACATGCTTTTCTTTTATATTCGATTTATAATTTCTGCAACCTACTGAAACAGTACTAGACTAAAACTCGTTTAAAAACACAAAAATACATCACAAAATGCAAAAAGGTTATTTATGTTCCCTTGAGATTGATTTTGGGTCAAATATAGAAATTGGAAGTTCTTAATATATTGAAAAAGTGCAATATTAATTTTTCACAAATTGTCAACAAGCTTGTTCGTTTAAACATTTGAGATTTATAAACTTTTTTGACATTCAATGTATAAACATTAAACATATTTAGTTTTATATTAATTATAGATACCAAGTATCTTCTAAGCTTTAAATAATGATAGCTTTGTATTTTTTTTTGATAAATGTATTTTTTAATTCTTTTTGTTCCAGAGATTTTTCCTTGAAAAGGAAAAAAATATTTGAGGGTTTTATCAGATCGCTTTTTAAACATTTTTTTAATCTTCAAAACTTTATTTTTGAAGTATTATATATTCCCTATTTATGTGGGACAAAATCTTAATTATTTTAAAACTTTAGAAACATTGATTTTTCTGTGAATGTCTTGTCAAAATACTTCTATTTTTTAATGTTTTTTTTATAAAAAAGTTACCATATTTTCTTATGAAAATTAAATGATTTATGAAAACACGCAAATGTGAATTTTTAATTATTTAAAATGATGCAAACTTGTAAAAGTTGTAAGTTTCTTTACAGTTTATTGTGATCTTAATTCTAAATTTTTATATCAAAATAATTAATCAGAATTTATTTTGTAAATAAATATAAAACGCAACTGAACCGGTTGATATAATTGTTACTAACCAAAGTAGTTGTTTGAAAATAAAAAATAAATTTCACACTATTGTCGGAAAATTATCTTTAAATGCTTCAAATATGGAAAAGTTGTTAAATCATAAAACTAGTTTGGTCCCTTCTTGAACCAGAATAATTAGTTCCAACTTCGTTCTTCTCAGTTTGAAATGAAGAGCAGGGGATTTTAGTAATATAACAATTAAAGAATATATATATTCTAACCTAGCAGAGGTCAACCTTGGTTTATGCTGTGAATTCCGGGATTAATTTTTGGATATTGGAAGAGCAGGGGATTATAGTAATAGAACAATTCAAGAATATATATATTCTAACCTAGCAGAGGTCAACCTTGGTTTATGCTGTGAATTCTGGGATTAATTTTTGGATATCCTGTGCAGGATTAACTTCAGTAATTATTCCTTAAATTTAAAAGTTGCCACAATGGATTTCGAGATCAAAAACGCTTTTTCATACAAAATTTTAATTTCTGGAAACTATAGGACAAGAGGTCAAACTTTCATGTATTTTTTAACGTCCAAAGTATTAAAAATTGCCAAAGTGGATTTCGAGGTAAAAAACGTAATTTTACGCAAAATTTTGACCTCAGTAACTAGATAACCCGTATTCGTAGATAAAATTGAGAATTGAAAGATTTTCGCAGTGGATATCGATACATCCCTTAAAGGAGTTGAGTTTTTGCCACAAACTCATATTTTCTAATCTCTATATCTTTGTAACCCAATGTCGTAGACTTTAGATATTTCAAACTACTAATTCTTAATTATAAAATAATCTAAGTTTGAAAAAAATCAAATGTTTGCACCATCAGGTTGCAAAGATATTGGAATCATAAGATTTGAGTTTGTGACAAAAACTCAATTCCTTTAAAGATTTTCACAGTGGATACTGATACTTCGCATACAAGTTCCCGAAGTCAAACTTTAGTGCTGCGAATTCAAAGATTAAGCCGCAATTCGTATATTTTGACGTCCAAAGAATGAAATTAATTTTACTGGATTATTCAGTAAAAATTAATTAAAAATTCGGAGCTAAAATTTAGGAATCCATCAAAAGAATTGAGTGTTTGTCACAAACTCAGATTTTCTAATCCCTATATTCTTGGATGACAAAACGTAGACCTGAAAACGTTCAAACTATGAACTATGTTAAACCAAATGATAAAAGTTTGAAATATTTAGATTTATTCAGGTTGCAAGGATTAGAAATTTAGTTCTTGAGAAAGACTCAATTCCTTTTTAAGGTTGCCACAGTGGATATCGAGATCAAGATCAAATATACTTGGCATCAAAGTTCCCGAAGCTAGGACTAGAGGTCAAACCTGTTGTATTGTAAATTCTAGGATCAGTTAAATCAGTATCTTTTGTCAACTGCAGCATAGTGTTCAGTTCATTTCTATTTGATATTCCGTATAATCAAGTAGAAGCTATATAGAAAATATATAGAAAATATATAGAAAATATATAGAAAATATATAGAAAATATATAGGAAAGCTAGCATGGATACATAAAATAGAAGAGTCCTCATAAACTCAAATTTTCTTGTCCTATTTTGCATTTCTTAAAAAACTAACAATAAATATACCGAAACAAGAACTTTAAATTAAAACGATTGATAGAATATTTATTTGAAGAATATAAGAATATTTATATTAATATTGATAAAATACATAAATTATGCAAAATGGGGAAAAAGTAATTAGTAAGTAATTAGGTTATGTCTAATGTCTAAAGATTAGAGTAAAGGGTTTGGATTGGATCTAGATTGATTTATAAAGATTGTCGCTGATAGAATTTGGATAAATACAAACGTAGGAATTATTTTATCGGACAGAACATCTGTTTCTGTTTAAAACGTGTAATCAGCGTATAGAATTGTGTTCATTTAACTCAAGACGTGATTGTTATGTAAACTATATATATTCTTAGGCCCGGATCTTAATTGAAAACTATTTGTGGATTTATTTAGAATAGGACAAGCAAGGAAATGGCTAAAATACTATCCCATGTTATTCAAGTAAAGATGCGGCATAATTTGCTATTGAAGAGATTTGAATATAAAGACCAAGGTTGACTAATGTAATGTGCTGGAAACTAAACATTTCCCACAACAATCTACCATTGAATTTAGAATTTCATTCCCGTAGTTCTATTGAGTTACGCAAACACAATTTGAGGCAAATTGGTCTTTGACTTTATTTATATAGATATGTATGATAATATGATTTGAGTTGAAAGAATAAAGAAAAAAATTATTAGGATTATTTTTAGGAAGGATTAGAACATAAAGAATATTAATATTGAACATTTTATAGATTCATCAATATTACATAGTTCCTTATTAATGCATGTTGTATAGTTCCTTATTAATGATGTAATGTTGCATAGTTCCTTATCAATGATGTAATGTTGCATAGTTCCTCATCAATGATGTAATGTTGTAGTGTTCCTTTTTAATAATGTAATGTTGCATAGTTCTTCATTAATGATGTAATGTTGCATAGTTCCTTAGTAATGAGGTAATGTTGTATAATTCCTCATTAATGATGTAATGTTATATAGTTCCTCATTAATGATGTAATGTTGTATAGTTCCTCATTAATGATGTAATGTTGCATAGTTCCTTATTAATGATGTTATGTTGTATAATTCCTTATTAATGATGTAATGTTGTATAGTTCCTCATTAATGATGTAATATTGTATAATTCCTTATTAATGATGTAATGTTGTATAGTTCCTCATTAATGATGTAATGTTGCATAATTCCTTATTAATGATGTAATGTTGTATAGTTCCTCATTAATGATGTAATGTTGCATAATTCCTTATTAATGATGTAATGTTGTATAGTTCCTCATTAATGATGTAATGTTGCATAATTTTTGGCATTGTTAGTCCAGTCCAGAAGCTTGATGGAGGCTGTACAAGAAATGGAAATGTCCCCCTGAAAAATTATTAAAATAAATTTAAAAATTATGATTACCCTCCTCAGCCTCTATTATAATCTTAGATTTACACAACCAGAGATGGAATTTAAAGAATTTGAGCCGCGGTTTAAATCCGCCAAAACCCAGTTTAAACTTAGCGCCGGCTTAAATCTTGAAACATTTGATACAATTTTAAGTGGAACCAACCATATTTAAGCCGCGGCTTAAATTTAAACCGCCGCTCAAATTCTTTAAATTCGGCCACAGGTTGCAATAATATTGAGACAAGAAAATTAGAGGTTGATACTTTGAAACTTCTTATTGTCACTAAATCATTTTCATTAATCACTTTTAAATGAAGAAAACTAGAAAATTTAACAATTGAATCATTGATTATTCTCATTTTTTAATAGCATTTGAATCTTCATGAAAAAAAATCTTTTTTTTGATTTATTAAAATTTTTAGGATGTATACTGTACATTAACGAATTTAGTTTATATAGATAAAAAAATAAGAACTGAAGAAATGAAGAAATAAACTCAAATTACAATTAGAAGAAGAAAACTGATTGAGAGAAATATTAATCATGATTAAACTAAATCAGAAGAGGAAAACTGATTGAGAGAAATATTAATCATGATTAAACTAAATCCGAAGAAGAAAACTGATTGAGAGAAATATTAAACATGATTAAACTAAATGACAGAAATAATGAAAACAAGAAAAATGAGACTTCTGTCGAACTAGAGAGGTTTAATTTGGTCTTCGGCCTTGAATTAAGTATTAGGTGTACTAATGATTCTGCAAGTATACAGCTATAAAGAAACACTGTATAAAATCTGTACAACCGTCTCAGAAGTCTCATCATTTATAAGTAAAGGCTCTAAAGAGAAATTTTATTCACAGTAAGATCCAGAAAACTGTACAATAGGAAGGATACATTAAAGCAATAATTGAGTAGTTACACAGCAAATTGCTTTACAATAGTAACTTATATTAAAACTCTTATTTAGTTAAATGGATATGTTTAAACTGCCGTGCTGTGTCTCATGTTTATTAGTCTATATTGTCATAACTTGAGGCTAAAAGTCGTCTTCCTATTCCAAAGTTTTTGGTTCTTACTGTATGTGTAATGCAGTAAAATATTTAGTACATGTAACTAAGTAAAAGCATCCTGTGCAAAATGTATCAGACTTATCGATCTAAATCTGGTCAAAGAAACTGAGTTATAGCTACAAACTCAAATTTTCTAATCCCTATATCTTTGCAACTTATGGTTTAAACCTTTTATAATTCAAACTTAGACTTTATGATCTAACTCATAGTCTGAAATATTAAATGTCTATGACATAGGGTGGGTTGCGAAGATAAAGGGATTAAAAAATTAGAGTTTGTGGCAAAAGCTCATTTCCTTTGTAGATTATATCTGGACATTTATATATATTAACCCTAAAAAATTCAGATTTTAGAATTGTATGTGTTTATTTTATCCTTTATTGTCAAAAAAAATAATTCTGCTCTACATTGGATGGACAAAGCAAAATGTCCGATAAAGTGATCCAATATTCACGGATTTCTGATGTTTTTTTTTGGCGGATATTTTGCCTTTTACTTTGTTACATTTCCTGAAAATCTAACTGTAGCTGTTTCTAACCTTCTCTGTGAAATGGTTTGGTCCCAGAGTTAGATATAGAGATGATGTTGATGTATGTAATCCTGTCTTTCGAGATGTTACAACTAGGAATATATAGTTACATGATCATAATGTACAGACTACAATGTACATGCCATGTACATATATTAAGATGTATGTATCACATATGGTTTTTTTTCATGGTCGGCTTTAATGTGTCGCAACTCGCAGCATCTTTCCCTTGGGGTTTACCTTACTTAATCACTTTATACAGGCATACTCATTTTAGAGCTACAGCTTCTTCTCTTTAGTTTAAAAAGAATAATTGGCAAAATGTTGAAAGATTCTTGTGGGACAGCACTATACGCTTTAGGCCAATGTGAAGTTACATAGATTGAAGATGTAAGGAATAGAAAATTAGAATTTGAGACAAGTGATACATTCGTTTCTAAATTTTGTTCTATTTTAGATTAAGATTCTAAAGTGAAAACCTGGCTCGAACTATTTGGGATTCTGTACTATACTCTGAACAGTTTTAGATTATTTGCTAACAATTTAAGCTTATTTCCAAACAATTTTAGGATTGTTTGCAGTCAACTCAAGAATAGTTCCAATACAATTCTAGAATATAAAAAGTTGTTTTTTCTTCACAGGATTGAAAGAGACATCGGTAAAATAAATCTAATCGAAACAAAACCATATACCAACGGTCTTATGAATATACTGTATCTGGATGAGAAACATATAGGAAGGATCTATGTATATATATATACTGTACCTGGATGAGGACCTATGTTGGACGGATCTATATATAAACTTCACTTGGATGGGGACCTATGTAGGACGGATCTATATATCAACTTCACTTGGACGGGGACCTATGTAGGACGGATCTATATATAAACTGTACCTGGATGAGGACCTATTCAGAACGGATCTTTATATAAACTTCATCTGGACGGGGACCTATGTAGGACGAATCTATATATAAACTGTACCTGGATGAGAACTATGAACGATGGATCTCTATGTAAACTGTACCTGGATGAGGAAATATGTAGGACGGATGTTTATATAAACTGTACCTGGATGAAGAACTATGTAAGGCGGATCTATATATAAACTGTACCTGGATGAGGAAATATGTAGGACGGATCTATATATTATAAACTATACTTGTATAAGGGTCTATGTAGGATGGATCTATATATACATGTATATAATGTACCTGGATGAGGAACAACGTAGGATGGATCTATATATATATGTATATACTGTACCTGGATGAGGAACTACGCAGGGCGGATCTATAAATATATATGTATATACTGTACCTGGATGAGGAACTACTTAGCACGGATCTATATATATATATATATATGTATATAATGTACCTGGATGAGGGTCTATGTAGGATGGATCTATAAATATATATTTGTATATAATGTACCTGGATGAGGTATTACGTAGGATGGATCTATAAATATATATGTATATACTGTACCTGGATGAGGAACTACTTAGGACGGATCTATATATATATATATGTATATAATGTACCTGTATGAGGAACTATGTAGGAAGGATCTATAAATATTATATAATGTACCTGTATGAGGAACTACGTAGGACGGATCTCTATATATATATATATGTATATAATATACCTGTATAAGGAACTATGTAGGATGGATCTATATATATATATATGTATATAATGTACCTGTATGAGGAACTATGTAGGAAGGATCTATAAATATTATATAATGTACCTGGATGAGGAACTACGTAGGAAGGATCTGCTCTACTATCATTGATAAACCAGGTAAGATCTGCTGCAGGTTTTGACTCCGATGAGGTACAGTTTAGTTGGACAAAATCTCCCGGAGCATAATCTCCTCGTCCACCTGCAGATACGATAAATTTAAACTACACTTTGCTGGTTTGAAGGGACTTTAATCGTTATTTCAAGGGACCATTCAATGCCAGATTCACAGAGGTAACTTTGAAACCTTTGTCTGATCCATTATGTAGAAGATATTGTCGTTTTTCCAGGTTTAACTGTTCGAGAAAAGTCACCTTTGTAGAGAAACCATTATTGAAAAAATCAGTTTTCAAAATTATAAACATTGATTTCTAATTCATATGTGATCTGACAAAACTTGTAAAGGTAGGGTTGTAGATCAGGCATTGTAACTTGAAATTACGCGTATAGTTAAACTTGAATATCTAATTCAACTATCCCTCATTTGTCAATAAAAACCCATCTTTAATGTCACATATTTTACGAATTGGTCAGGAGTACGCAGCAGTTGTTATAAAAGCTCTGATATTTTGAATATTTCCACCCTAAAGCAAACTTATCTATATTCTAAACCTTCGGCAATTGTCTTGATTTTATCCTGTAGACCTAATTTCATGTGTGATTAGAAAACTAAGGATATTTTCAACTGTACCTTGGATAACAGGAGGAGAGGATGGTAGAACAAGAACTAGAAGATCTCCGAACCCACTCTTAGTAGAGAACATCGGAGCTTCACTGCTAACCTCACATCTATACCGTCCTAGATAGATGGCTAGATAGATGAATACAGTGGTATCTAGAAACCATGGGAATGATTGCCGTCTAATTTTTCATTATAAAATGTTACAAAGGATTTAGTCATTTGTAACCAATTCTTTTGCGAAAATGTTCCCTTAAATAATCAAAATAACAAATAAAAAAGCCATAGCGGCAATCATTCCACAGTTTTCTGGTTACCACTGTATATAAATATAACTACATAACTACATTATCTTCATATTGTCATTAGTTTTTACAATTCAGTTTAGCCAGGACCAATCAAGCCATTGCTTGTCATGTCAAAATAAGACTTTTTTACACCTCCAGAGCTCTTGTACTGTCGAAATCGAGATCAATGCTTGATCTCCTTTTTTTGTTGATCAATGAGAAAAATCTTATTGGTCGGAACCAGTATAGGGACATTCAAAAGAGAGGATATTGGATATCAAGATAAAGCGAACGGGATTATGGGTATCGATCCATTTACAAGACTTTCAGCTAGTATAAAAAGTGATATTTCTACTAGAGATTTCAGAAAATGTTGTTTGCACTTTAGATTTGATCTAAATTCCTTTATCATAAAAATGATGCTGTTTTTTTACTGAAAGAAATGTCCGTGTGATGTCGATATCCAATGCGGGAATGCTTGATTTCTTAATTTCCGTTATCTTTGCAGGGTATGAACACCACAGGATTTTAAAGAGGAATCTGTAGATCTGCAAAAAGAGATGTGAGCAAACATTTAAGTCCCTTTCCAAAACATAAAATCATCAATATTTAAATACTTTTTCAGAAAGTGCCAGATTAAACTAAAGTATAATTGTGAGCTGAACAAAAGGAAAAGTTACTCGAAGCGGGATGTACTTAAGCAAAGGATAGGTAACTCGAAGAATGACAAATCCAAAGGCAATTAGGTTAGGGAAACACTCTCTTCTACCAGACACACATAGATGAGAACTTCTTGAAAATGTTTATTCAGTAACGAAGTTTCCTACAAAATACAAATTGTTATTGGCGTACATGCATGTAAATAATAATTGTTAATAAATGGGTATTGTTGTGAATCGAACAATTGGTTTAGAAACATGTACCATTGAGAATTGAACAAAGACTTAAAAGGTATAGGAACTCTAGGTTTTGTAGGTTTAGCAGNGTGTAGCACTCGTCTTGAGCTGGGAGATGTTGAGTTGAATTGTCTGGAGCTAGATCCTCAGCTACAGAGACTTCTGCTAGTCCGTGGATTATTTCCTGAGGGAGCTGCTTTTCTACGCCGAGGAATGGGAATAACTGGTTCATAGGAGGATCAGAGTTGAGTGGAGGAACAGTGGTTGTAGACGGATCAGGTACAAATAGAGAATCCGGTTTTAGCGGGAAGGCTGGAGTGGCAGCAGGATCCGATCCTGTTGGAGGTCCTGTATCGGTAGGAGGGTCAGGGTTGGGAGGAGGGATTGGATAGGTGGGCGGATCAGGTTCGGTTGGGGGTTTCAGGCTGTTTGTAGGATCTGGATTTAGTGGAGAGGCTGGATTGGTTGGAGGATCAGCGTTGGAAGAAGGGATTGAATGGGTGGGTGGATCAGGTTCGGCAGGGTTCTCCAGATTGTATGGAGGATCTGGTTTGAGCGGAGAGGCTGTATTGGTTGGAGGATTAGAGTTGGAGGGAGGCATTGGATAGGTGGGCGGATCAGGTTTGGTTGGAGGTTCCAGGTTGTTTGGGGGATCTGGTTTGAGAGGAGAGGCTGGATTGGCAGCCAGATCAGGTTCTGTTGGAGGTCCTGGATTGGTGAGTGAGACTGGATTGGTTGGAGGATCATGGTTGGAAGGAGGAGCGGTCATGTTGGTATGGGAGTTCAGGAGATCTATGGCGGTTCTTCGGGCGTAGCAGAGGGCGGCGCAGTCGTACCTCACAAAGTCCGTGTCATTCCTGGAGATGGTGATGAACAGCTGATTGATGGCTCTTATGTCGAGGGCGTTATTCTTCTTGGTTGCTTCCAGGAACCATTTGGTGAAGGTCCGGATGGGATGGTCAGGAGGGGAAGGGGGGGAGGTATATTCCTGGTGTGGAGTCTCGGAGGTGTCTCCATTCGGGGGGTCCTGATATAGCGGAGTATTGCTCTGAGGTTTCTGGTTTGGAGTCCCGGAGATGTCTCCCTTCAGGGGTTCCTGATGGAGCTGAAATGTGGTGTCTCCATTCAGGGGGTCCTGATGGGGCTTAAAGCTTGCGGAAGGTGTTGGAGCTTGTTTGGTGAGAGGGGGAGAGGTGGGTAGAGGGGTGAATGAGGCAGTGAGAGAGGTCAGGATTCTCTTGGCGGTCAGGTAAGATGCATTTAGGTTGGGGCAGTCGTATGCCCGGAATTCAACGTTCGTCTTCAGTTGGTGGAGGTATTGTATGATATAGGCCTCCAGTAAGGTGATGTCCTTCTGCATGATGGCCCGCTTGAAAGCAGCAGTGATGATCAGGATGGGGTGGTTGGGAGGAGGTTGAGGGAGTTTGTTAGTATTTGGGGGGGTATATTCCTGGTGTGGAGTCTCGGAGTTGTCTCCATTCAGGGGGTCCTGATGGAGCGGAGTGGTTCTCTGAGGTTCCTGGTGTAGAGTCTCGGAGTTGTCTCCATTCAGGGGGTCCTGATGGAGCGGAGTGGTTCTCTGAGGTTCCTGGTGTAGAGTCTCGGAGGTGTCTCCATTCAGGGGGTCCTGATGGAGCAGAGTGGTTCTCTGAGGTTCCTGGTGTGGAGTCTCGGAGGTGTCTCCATTCAGGGGGTCCTGATGGAGCGGAAATGTGGCATCTCCATTCAGGGGGTCCTGATGGAGCGGAATAATTGGATCCATATCGAGGGTTTAACTTTTGAACAGTCCTTGGAAGGCTAGATCGAAATGTGAGCTGAACAAAAGGAAAAGTTACTCGAAGCGGGATGTACTTAAGCAAAGGATAGGTAACTCGAAGAATGACAAATCCAAAGGCAATTAGGTTAGGGAAACACTCTCTTCTACCAGACACACATAGATGAGAACTTCTTGAAAATGTTTATTCAGTAACGAAGTTTCCTACAAAATACAAATTGTCATTGGCGTACATGCATGTAAATAATAATTGTTAATAAATGGGTATTGTTGTGAATCGAACAATTGGTTTAGAAACATGTACCATTGAGAATTGAACAAAGACTTAAAAGGTATAGGAATTCTAGGTTTTGTAGGTTTAGCAGGTTTAGGAAACTCTAGGTTTAGCAGGTTTAGCATTCATATTTTATTACTGTTGCGTATCGATAAATAAAGGGTTTAGAAAGGCACTGTTGTATACCAATAATAATTGTTAATAAAATGTAACTATTTGATTGACGAACAAATGTGAATAATAATTGTTAATAAATGTAACTATTTTATTACAACTAATTAAATGTTTATTGAAACTGATAAATAGGAATTTTAAAGGAAAGGTTCTGTTGTGAATCGACCAGGCAATATTTTAAGGTACCGATGGGAATTAATAAATGAAATATTTTAAATGGGTACTATTGTGAATCAAACATGGACTTACGATCTAGAAAACTGTGGTACGGCGAAAAGTTGTTTGTACTGAAGTCTAAAGCAATTTAATTCTTCTGAAATGAATATTTATTTGGTTAAAATAAGTTCACTGTTTATATGTAAATGATTCACTGAAAATTGTGTTTAAATAGGTTCTTTTTAATGCACTTTAAGTTTTACTAGATCCATGAGGTTATTTGGCAAGGTTTGGTTTGGCGGATGGCCGGAGTACGGAGTATTCAACGGAGATACAATCTGTCGGAGACGACCTTTGAAACAGGGTTACATTAGGGATATGGTTCACAATAATATGTTTGAATTACATTTATTTATTGATATCAAGTTTATAACCAAACCCATGGAAAGTTTGCAGTCCAGGGTATCGGAATATATTTTTATTTTATGAAATATTATTGAACAAAATGACGACCTGTTCCCTTTTATTTAATTAATTATTTAAATATATTAAACTAACTGCAACGAATTTCATCCTGTTGTATCGGAATAATTCAATCACATTTTGATATTTCATTTAAGATCCATTCAAAATATCCTAAAAGACATATCATACCTAAATATTTAACTACATAGCCGAAAAAATAAGTATAAATAATCAAATACGTTTAATCTACATTTAATGGGTGAAAAGATGTTCTAAAGTTAAGAACCATTACATTTTTAAAGGACATCTAGTTTGAAAACTGAGTTTAAATCCTGTTTTATGTAAAGAATCCATTTAAAATATTACTGAAATGCGAGAAACCATTTTAATATTTCTAAACTTTAAAAGATCAGAGAAGTTAAATTCTGAGCTAACTTCAAATTTAAACTCTTTCATTCCTGGAGTGAAAAGCAAAGGTTTTAGGCCGGGTGGGGTCGGCTACTGGATAGCTTAAAGTTGTTGATATTTGTTCATTTTGGGACACTTAGGAAAATCCATCCATTTTTTAAAATGTCAATTTTCAAACGCTAATAACTTCATAATTTTTAAAGATATCTAAGTTCTCTCAAAAGTTTATTAAAGATGAGTTTGATAATATATTATGAAAATCCAGATTCCAAGAGATTCTCTGCTTTGTGCCGCTGACAACTTCATAGACAGAGTCAAAATTTTCTACTAAGAAGATGGTTGGCATTTCGAACATTTGTTGAAAAAATCTTAAAGGAATTGACTCTTTGCCACAAACTCTGATTTTCTAATCCCAATATCTTTGGAACCCAATGTCGTAAACCTTTGATATTTCAAACTTATACTTTTTGATCTAACAAAAGTCATATTTTGAAATTTCAAAGGTTTACGACGTTGTAATCCAAAGATATAGGGATTAGAAAATCAGAGTTTGTTGCAAAGAGTCAATTCCTTTGTTTTCATGTTGCATTTATGTTTCATTAAGTTTTCAAAAAAGACAGTCTCATTTTTCATTAGCTTATTAGAGAACTTGTTTATTAGCGTTTGAAAATTGATTTTTTAAAAAAAGATCCTGTATGTTAATTTTTATATTCATCTATGTTATTTTTCAGATACTATTTTGTCGATTTTTAAATCCTTCTATGTTAATTTTTAAATCCTTCTATGTTAATTTGTATTTCCTTTTATGTCAATTTTTAAATAAATGTTTGTTAATTATTAGATACTTTTATGTTATTTTCCAGATATTTCTATTTTTATTTCTATTTCTGGGTCCATTTGTAGAGCCTTCTTTTTTATTTTTTGAGATATTTCACTGAAAGTTTTCACCCGAAGGTTTTATTAATCCCCATGTCAGGTTAATTCTCAGATACCTGTACTACCCAGAGTCAGGTTGGTTAGTGTGATCACACTGGAGTTACTCCGTGCCTAAATAAGTCTTAATAAGTTTGTACGTCCTTGCTACTTTTCTCTAGAAAATTATTTATTTTTCCAAATTCAACTATTTTTTTAAGTCCGCGCAAACAGAACTAACTTCTTGAGAAAAAACTGATTTTCAAAGAGATTGGGGGGGGGGGGGGAAATTTTTAAAAAAAAAAATTGGGGTTTTCCTTTTAAAGGGATTAACAATTTGATCCCGCTGGGTTCACAAAAGATATGAATTAGTCCATCTGAAGGGATTAAACAATACAAAAGTTCCGAGCTCTGGTTAATGTTGATAACCTGGTCAATCTTTACTCCATGCCTAGGGTAGATAGTTACAGGACTAGGGTTGGAGGGAAGATATCTGTATATCTCCCGACCTCCCTTATACCATTTAACTAAATTCACAAACACAAGATTTTATAAATTGTGAAAAACAAAAATCACTTTCTTTAGAAAAATATTGAAATTTAAGTTAAAAGCGTTTAAAAAATAATCCGACCTTTTTTCCCTCCTCTCTTGTAATATTTGTGGAACTCTTTCTTTAAAAATATTGAAATCTAAGTTTTAAGCTATTTAAAATTTATCCATAAATACATCGGAGATAAAAGACTACTTGTAATTTTCTGAAATCATTAACCATGTTTATTGTTCCTCCCTGTATAGATTATAAGAATCTTGGGTTCCTGAATATATCTGCTCAGTCCCACTCTCATAATTACACTCCAGTGCTGCAGAGCTACCTGACAAATAAATAGTTCTTTGCAAACATTCTCATTTTTGGAAATCTTTTGTTTTTCTACAGGATTACCCAAAAGGATGAGGCATTAATGACGACCTAAAACTCTTTAAAAATAACTTTCTATATAGATGATTGTTATGTTTGCCTTGTTTGTATTTAAATGGTTTAACAAAAAAATTTGGAGTTGCAAAGATTTTCGCCTTAAGTAATTTTCGCTGTTTTATGATTCACAAAGGAATTGACTTTTTGACACAAATTTTTAAATCCCTATATCTTTGGAACCTGATGGAGTAAACCTTTGATATTTCAAAATTAGATTATTTGATCTAACAGTATACTTAGTTTGAAATAAATAAGGTCTGAGACATTGGGTTCCAACGATATAGGGATTGGAAAATCAGAGTTTGTGGCAAAGACTCAATTCCTTTCTGAATTGACCCAAACATTTTTAATTCTTGGAAATGCAGAATTCAGATTTGATAACCAACATTCTTTTTATGTACATGAAATTAAAGGTTTGAAAATAGCTTTTAAATATTAATTTAAAACAGTTAGCGACCGGGAAAGTTTTGGTATTGTATTGGTTTTTGCAAAATATGATTGGAATCATATTTTACATAAAAAAGTGCCGATCAGAATTTAAAATATAAAAGTTTCAATCGATCAATGTACCCAGGGGGGACTGCAGGGGATGTAATTCCAGTTTACTTCCCTGAAACTTCTACCGAAGAACAACACTAATTGTATTATACATATATCTAGAAGATATAGAGAACCGAATTATAGAATATAATATCATAAATATATATACCATCATGTTGTCCCTGTATAGTGTTGAACCTCGAGATTGTATTAGACGAAGAATACGACATTCATCAACTCCGGTGTATAGACGAGGACAATACACTATACAGAGTTACCAACAAAGGATGAGCCTTGAATGACGACCTGAACTATTTGAATATTACGATAGAAAGGTTGAATTTGACAAAGAAATAAACACTTGTACGTACAGACTACAGCTGCAGCGAACTATGAATGTGAATGTGCATTGTGCATGGTTTTCTCTGAACTATCGTCTTTTCTTTGAAAAAATAACTCAATGCTTTTGTAAAGGAATTGAATTTTTGTCACAAACTCTGATTTTAATTTCCCGACATCTTTACAACCATTACAAAACCATTGATATTTCAAAAATAGATTATTTTATCTAACATAATTCATAGTTTGAAATATCAAAGGTATTAGAAATTGCGTAGCAAAAATATAGCGCTTAAAAAATCAGAGTTTTGGGCAAAAACTCAATTCCTTTCATTCTCTAAATTTTGTTCTTTTCAGTAAAAGTTAAAGCTTTAGCCCAACAAAAAGTATCAAATGCAAAAACGCCAATTCACATTTAATAGGTAAAAATGATGGGGTTTAAAGTTAAGACTCACTGGGTTTTCAACCATGGGACCTAAACTCTATAACCTTGCATTATCAGGTTGCACAAATAAATACGGATCATATCCTTTGAAGTGAAATGAAGTGATATAAAAACTAGGTTCTCTTAGTGCACATTTAAAAAAACAAAAACAAAACAGTTCGCAAATAAGAAAAAATTGTGGATTTTGATAATTTATTGGAAATTGAATTTTGTTCGCGGATTTCATAAAAAAATTCGCGAAATCCCATACAAAATTTGGGCCCGATCGGTTTAGCCATTTTGACGTTTATTGGATACAAACAAACAAACAGACCTCAAAGCTAAATATATATATAGATATAAAAATTGACCTGCAATGTTGAGAGTCGGCACATGAACCTCCCTAAGATGAAGGGAAAATGTAAGATGTAAGGAGGAGAAGAGAAGAAGAGTTGTTAAAAACATCTGGGTTAAACCCATCTCTCTAGTTCACACAAGGATTGGAGCGCTACTAAATCTACAGAATACCGGGGGGGGGGGGGTTAGGCTCCGTTTCCACTCAGCCTCCTCCCATCTTTATACACTATACTGCTACTATGGATATAGAATAATGGATATGCAACAGTATAATAGAAATATATGAGAACAAGAAATATTCAGGGTTATTCACAAAGAATGAGACTTTAGATACATTTTCTCCGTATACACTACATTTAGCATTTTTTGTTATATTTTATAGATAAATGTCTTACTTACTTATATTTGGTTCACTACAATCTTGTTTCTTTATATGCCAAGTCATTCAGTTTATTATTTAAAATGTATCAAAAAAAACTAAATTTTTCCGAGGATTTTCATGTTAAAATTGGCGCATTTTCAAGATTAATAAATGTCGACAATTTTTCCGGACAAGATTTTAAACCCTGGGTTTCATGAGATTATGTCACAAAAAATGTGAGTTCGGCTGTTTTACGTTTATTGAATACAGACTGACAGACAAACAAACAAACAAGCCAAATTTATAAGAAGAAGAATCAAACCTAAAGATTCTTGCAGGACGTCTTTAAGGCTC